AAAACATGAAACAGGTGAAATAAGCCAATAATGAGGATAAAAAGGAATCATAAAAAGAACACTCAATCTAAAAACAGTCAACAAAAGAGTTAAATGGGATATAGAACAGGTGGAACAAACAGAAATCAACCATCAAGATGGTAAATTTAAATCCAATTACAAGTGTTCCATGTACACTTGAATAGAATGTGTATTCTGTAGTTGTTGAGTGTTGTATTCTCTAAGTGACAGACTAAGTTTATTAATAGTATTGTACAAATTTCCTGTATCCTTCCCTTTTTAGGTCTACTTTTTCTGTCAATTACTGAGGAGTGTTAAACTATCCAGCTATGATTGTAGACTTGTCTATTTTTTTTTGTGATCTCTCAAGTTTGCTTCATTTGTTTTGAATATATCTTTTTACGTTCATACACAGTTTGATTGTTATATCTTCTTATTGTATTCATCCTTTTAATTTTGTGAAATGTCCCTCTTTATCTGTGTTAAAAATTAAAATAATCATTGTCTTCTTTGCCTAATATTAATTAACCATTATTTTCTTTTATGGTATACATTTGTCTGTTCTATTACTTATAAGCTTTTCTTCTTTTTTTATCATGTTATTTTCAAATAATTTCAACATTAAGGAAGAATTTCGAAAGTGTTGTGATGAACTGAAATTCTCCAATTTTTGACTTTTTGCCATGTTTGCTTTATTACTTCCTCCCTCTCTCTTTGTCTGTCTCTCTGTATGTGTGTGTGTGTGTGTGTGTGTGTGTAGTATTTTAATCCCTTATGGTTTATGTTAATTTTGATTAACTGTTTAAGATGTTGTCTGTTTTCTCCATATAGTTATAATTTTACCTTTTGTAATAAGTACTGTTGTGTTGAAATACGTTGAGACCATGTATTTATTTTGTTAGTTACCAGATGTCCTTCACTTCTTTCCCTCTTATAGTGTTCATTAGTGATTCTTGCCTGAAATCAGTTTTTTTCTCTGATAATCATTAATATATGATTTTAACTAATTTATTATTTTTTTATTCCTTTTATATGTATTACTTGGCATTCCATATTAAGGAGTCCTTCCCCATTATCTATCTATATAGCTAGCTAGCTACCTACCTACCTACCTATCCTTTCCTATTATCATATCAGATTCATGGATTCTTACTTCATTCAGTTGGGATATTCCTTTAATGACCTTATTCATTTTGATACTCAAATTGTCCCAGATGTAGCTAGTGTGAGCCACTTCAAGCTGGCTCCTGTGCCTTGTTGATATGTTCTTATCACTTTGGGGACATTTCCTAACTTAACCACTTTATTATTCATTTTTTCAAGGAGCTCAGTTCTTTTTAGTGCTGAATGGCATCTTGACAGTAAGATCTAGACATGTTCCTTGTATTTAAATGTGTGTCATTTTGAATCAACAAGTAGTTTGGTATTGGTTTTTTATTCATTCTGCCTAATTGGAATGTTTATTCCATTACATTAATCTATTTAATGATTTGTTTGGATTTAAGCCTTTCATCTTGCTGTTGTTTTTCTATTTGTTCCATTCATTTTTTTTTTTGCTCCTTTTTTTCCTTTTTTCCTTCCTGCTTCTCGATTAAGTTTTATTAGTATTATGATTTAGTTTCCGTATTGGCTTACTGGAGTACAACTTTTAGTTTTATTTATTATCTGTTTGTGTGTTTGCTCTGGGAATTACAGTGTGTATCCTTAACTTATCACAGTTACATGTAATTTAAGAACCTTACAGCAGCATAGTGTAATTTATCTTTTCACTTCCTTTTCTGATATTGTTGGCATATACTTATACACTTGTTTTTAAACACTAAAATATGTTATTGTTTGTGTTTGAACATTTGATAGTATTTTAAAATTCAAGAAAGAAAAGTAGTTCATTATATTTATCCTCATATTTGCTATTTCCAAGCCTTCTCCTTCTTTCTTACAGATTTGTGTTAGCCTTTGGTATCATTTTCCTTCAGTGTGAAGAATTTCTTCTAGCTATTCTTTTAGTGTATACCTGCTGGGTTTATATTTTCTTAGCTTTTGTTTGTGTAAAAATATTTTTTCATCTGTTTTCAAAAATATATTTTTTAAGATGTAGAATTCTAGGCTGACAGTCCTCCCTTTCCCCACACTTTAAAGATGTTATTCCTCTGTTTGCTTTCATTGTTTCTGAAGAGAAATAAGCCATTATTCTTATTGTTGTTCCTCTAACTGTATTGCCTTTCTTCTCTGGTTGCCTTTAAGGTTTCTTCTTTGTCTTTGCATTTTGCAATTTGGCTGTGATTTTCCTGTGTGAGGTTTTATTTGCATTAATTGTGTTGGGGTTTTGTTAAACTTCTGAGATCTGTGGGTTGAGATCTCTTATTAGGTTTGGAGATGATGTTGCCAATTTATCCTTAAATATGTCTCTTTTCTCATTTCTTCCTCTTCTGCAATTCCTAGCTACTTGATGTATCATTCAGATTTCATCATTACTTGAGTGAACTAAATGTGAGTCTCAGTTTTTATTAGCTGCAAATTACTTCTGATTTCAATTCTACAAATGCTATGGTAGAAGTCTTTTTGTCTTTAAGACTCTGAAATTCCAAAGCTTTTATCCAGGGGCTTATCTTTTATTTTAACAGGATTTGAGTTGGGCTGGGTTTCAGCTTTAGTTAGTTTTTACTCTCCTTTGGATTGAATTCGAGTAGAGCCTTGGGATCTAAATCCCTTTCAAAATTTGCAAGACTTCTCTGTGATTTCTAGCACTACCCCCACCATTTCTTATGGAACAGAATTCTTATAGGAGAGAGTTGTTGTGCAACTCTCTCCTATTATTTTTGTTTGGGGGCTCTTCCAAAATTCCAATCTGTAATAGCAGCCCACACTGTTAAGTGGTTGGATGATTTTTTTTTTGTCCCATCAAAGTCTCTCAGCACATGAGTATTTCACTCCCTCATCTATGTGTACCCAGATTAGGCAATTGGGCTTAGATATGAAAGTAGCTGCTACTCTTTGCTTATCTTGCAAGGGCTTTATCCCAGTATGCAATTTAATTCAGTTATACATTTTTTGTGTTCATTATACTTCATTAACATTAAAGGAATATACAGCTTTTAGCTTAGATCTAGCTTTCTTGTGCTTTTGAAGGTAGTGACAGTTTTTCTCGATCTTCTACATCATATCCAAGAATGGAACTTCTGCTAGATCTTCGTAAAGCATAATAGAAATAAGTAATAGGTAGAGATGCCAGGAGAGTGATTAATATCAGGGGCACCAGATTATTTTGGACACCTGTGTTAAATCACTTTTATAACAACCCGTACTTATTCATAACTCATATTACAATTGATATGATAAAATTATAAGTTTAACATATGAACGTAGGAACCATGACTATTTCTTTACCACTGTAATTTCAGTATTCCAGCAACACAATGCCCAGCACCTTATATTTTTTGGAATGGAGTTTTAAATTCAGTAATAGTTTTTGAAAGGGTAGCAATAGGCCAGAGGTTATTGTTCAGTTAAATATATCCTTACATGGACCCTGTAAAAATATTTTGAGGTATCTTTTTTTCTAACTGAATTTCCTAACTGAATTCCTTGCATTCTGTAGTCTTATTTATTTCTAATATTTTTGTCTTCCACAATGGCAGTTCAAATACAACATACGGCATGAAATCACAATGTAGCTAGCCTGTATATTTAGTATTTTAAGATTTTAAATTAAACTATACTAAGCCTCTGATTTTATTCTGTAGAAAAAAATCAATGAGATAAAATTTGTGACCATTGTTCACAAGCAATAAATTATTGAAAAAGAACTGCTCACAAATCTTTATTTACATTTATTTCTTGATAAAGAACTATCATTACAATACTAACTTTATTATTGAAGAAATATTTGTCTCAAAAGGGTATCTTTTATAGGAACCATCTTGGGTGATGCTTTCAGGGGCTTATGAAGGATGTATAGGTCTAGAATTTCATTTGTTGGTTTCAAGATTGTTGTTTTCTTTTTTAAACTTTGCATATAAAGATAGCTTTGGAATCATTTTTTTTACGTTTAGTTTCCTTTACTGAATAGAAAATGTCATTATCGATCATTTTTGGAATAGTAAGGGTTATAAAACATTTATGCAGAATTAAACTACTGGTTTAGTTTCAAGGTCAGTGGTTACCAGTGAGGAGAGGGGAGAGAGGAGGGGCAAGATAGAGGTAGAGGATTAAGAAGTACAAACTACTATGTATAAAACAAATAAGTTACAAGGATATATTATATAGTACAGGGAATATCGCCCATATTTTATAACTTTAAATGGAGTATAATCTTTAAATTTTTTGATTCATTATGTTGTACACCTGAAAGTTATAAAATCTTGTAAATCACTTTTTTAAAATTCCAAAAAAAGTAGCTATTGGCTTTTAACATTTATTTTTGAATGAGAGCTAAATAGACATTATATGAAAGATGATGACATAGTAGCAGAGATTTTTTTTTTTTTTTTTTAGGGACCTTTATCAGCTAATTGTGCAGAAAGTCTACAAAGAGATCAGGTTGAAAAATTATAAATATTAACTGCGAAGAAACTTGAATGTATGGGAGAAATAATGGTTTCAGAATGCAGAATCATGTTAGAGAACTCTGTCCTGAGATGCAGTATAGCATAGTGTTTAAATGCTATAGCCTTTAGAGTTACACTGCCTGTATTAAAATCCTTTTTTGCTATCTACTCACTGTGTGACCTTCAGCAAGTTACTTAACTTTACCTTCATTTCCTCATCTGTAAAGTAGAGATAATACTAAAAGTAATTCATATGGTTATTATGAAGGTTAAATGAATTTTGATACATTAAAATACTTGGAATCTAACTTCTGATATACAATAAATGTTATTTCCTGTTGCCATTATTATTATCATTATTATTATTATTACTATGAGTACCACTGGCACATTGTTTGTTTGCAAAATAATTTTCCTACCTGGTATGATTGACTCTTGACATTTCCTTTTCAGTTCAACTGAAGTTGATGACATGATTCGTAAATCTACAAACCTGTTGCTAACTAGGACTCTGAGCAGCTCTCTGCAGAATGTCATTAAAAGGAAGAATATTGGACTTACTGAGGTAAAGCTGCTCTTATTGGAGGCAGCCAAGGCAATTTGTGAACAGATGTCCTAAGCTCTGGGGCTTGTGTGTGAATTAATTGTAATTTTCTATGTGCTCTATCATGTTCTTTCTGATGGACTCACAGTGAAAGTGCAAAATAAATTCCTTGTGTTTTTCATTCAGTGCCTTGGAGAAATCCATTATTTTTTGGAAAAGTCACTTTTTTTCTCTCTCTCATTGTCTTCTCTAGTTTAACTGGTTCTCCTTTCTGAGGTTGTTGGGTTAAACTTGTATTATTTGCTATTAATTATATTAAAAAATTGTTAGTTGGAGAATAGAGTCAACATCAGTGTCATATTTAAAATAATGGCAGTTCAAATACAACATACAGCATGAAATCACATTTTGCCTACATAAGTCATTGATGCCAGGGATATTGGCATTCATAGTCACTGGTTAGCGTTAGATTTTGTTTTTGAGATACATCACATGTATGAGTGGTAAATTACTCTTTATTAGCATGTAAGTCTGGGGATTTGGGATTGAGAAAATGTGAGAGAAAGGCAGTCATTACATTTCTGTGGAAGCTTACACAATCTCACAAAGGGTGGAGGGTTATTGTACATAGGTTGAGAACAGTATCTTGGCAAACTGAAGATTTGATGCATTGGCTTAAGTCCTAAAACTTAGAAAGATGCGACATTTCCCTTCTCTTAGAAACCCAGGTTTGTATGGGAGCCTCAACCTCTCATTTTATGGAAATTAGAGTGCCAAGTGTGAGAGAGCTTGGAGGAATTTTCTTCACAGGTGAAGGGAAGGGCTGTTGGTCATCTGTTTTTAGAGGTGGTATAATTTCAAAGTCAGTTGGTCTAGGAAAAATTGACATTTTCAGATATACATTATCAGGAATGAAAGTAAGTGGTTAATGATACTGACCCATAGATGAGTACAGCTGGAAGACAGGTGAACATCTATTTCTGATTTTGGAATGATTGTTTCTTTTCCTGTGTTAAGATTTAAAAACACTGTTAAATACTGTATTATAATAAGGGACATTGGCAGTGATTGAATTCTACTTATAGCCAACTTTTTTTTTACAATTTAAAGTCACATTCGACATTATTTGGACAATCCCCTCATTTTGTAGAGCTTTGTTTCTCTTGCCTGGTATAGAAATATTAAGCATTGCCATTATGTGTCTGAGAATAGGCTAACTTCTTTTGTAATCAGGAATGCTACAGAAAAGCAAAGTTGGATTGAAAATTTGGAGGTCCTTATGCTTTTGTAGATTATTCTGTTCTCCTTTTCTGAATCCCCAGTAGGACAGAAAATTTATTTTGTGAACTACCTCTACATTAAAACTCTTGATATGTCTTCTTAGGCCATTTGATTTATCAATCTCTTAAAAGCCATTTTATTTAATTAATTTATTTTTATTGAAGTATAGTTGATTTACAATATTGTGTTAGTTTCAGGTGTACAAAAGTAAATCCATTTTAAACAAGTAGCAGAGCAGGAACTTGGTGTGATAGAAACAGCTTTGGACACAGAAGACTCTGGAATTTAGTTGTGACTATGCCATTGATTTACTGTAGCATCTTAATAGAAGACCTAACTCCTCAGTTCTTCAGTTTTCCTGACTCCATTGTCCATTTCAAAGGCACTGTACAGATCAAGTAACAATAGGAAGAAGCAGTAGGAGCTTATCAAGAAGTACTGTATCATAGTTCTTGACATAATTTCAATGAATGCTAATGTTATTCCTAAGTCATTGGATCTTTTTCGGCAAAAATACTTTTGTTATCAAAATCTTTACATATGAATGAAGGAACATCCACACAAGTTTATTTATTTTGGCTATGATGGTGGTGTGTACCTGTATAGACACATACAAAACCAGTGATTCTTTTCATCACCAACCAGTAAATCTTTGACTAACTCTATTATTCACCTTTTATGAAAGGGAGGACATTATATACTTCTTTATAGGTAACTAAAGTGATTTCACATCTGGAATCATCATCAGTAATAGGCAGTGTTTGTGGAACAATTTATATTCTTCAGTGTCCATTCACAGATAATCACCTTATTTATTACAATAACATTTGAAGCAGGCTGGGCATGTGTTATTATTTCCATTTTATAGAAGGTGTAATTAAAGTTCAAGGAGAATGCCCAAGCTAGCAAAATGATAGAAATGAGACCTAAGTTCAGGTTATTTTTTTCCCCAAACTTACTTACTTTTACTATAGTGTACTACTTTCCATATTGATTTAATTATTCTGTCATAACAAAGATAGAGATTTTTACAGGAGGTCCATAGTAACATCGAAATTATTCTCGTTAGAGGTGATTTTGTAACAGGGAGCAGATATCCACTCAAATGATACGAGTATTATAAGCACTCAAAACTCACAGAATCCTATTTCTGGTTACCAGATAAACAATTCTTTTAGTATTTAAAAGTTTGTATAAGCTAATGTCTTTCTGCCTGTCTTGATTTGAGGTTATATGGTATCTTATCTCTTATTTTTTCTGTCCATATGCTCTATTCCTTTATCTCTTTCTCTCTATATACTGGCTTTCATGCTTTTCTCATGGCTTCTTTACTTCCCCATGTTAAGCCAACTCTACATTACCTTTCAGTTCTACCACCTACTGTAACTTGAATGCCTTGTATTCTCAGACCCTAAGTGATGATCTCTAGTTCAGTCAGCAGACACAGCTGTTTTCCTAGGGCTGCTTCTTCCAAGTCTGTGAGAAGAAAGTCAGTCAAGAGTATATGTTCTAAAGCAGAATGCCCAGGTTCCAGTTCTGGTTCTCCCCTTAATAAATGTGTTCTTGGGCAGATTGCTTGGCTTTATGTGTAAAATGGGGACAATAGTAGCATGTATTTCATAGGATTGCTGTGAAGATTAAATGAACATGTAAAGTGCTTAGAATAGTGCCTGGTTCACTGCAAATACTCAGTGCATATTGCCTATTACTAAGAAAGAGATCTGGGCAGGTAAACAGTGGTTGTTAGGGCTAGTATAGAAATGGAGTTTTTCAAATAAGAGAAGTCAGAAGATTAGAACAAAATGTCCTGTTAATTAACTTTACAATATTTATTGAGTGCCTACTATGTGACAGGTACTGATCTAAGTCTTAAGAATAAATAAGTAAACAACAAGAATATCAACAAAAGAGATTCTTGCTTATATTCTAGTGGCAGAAAACAGGTAAATGGTACAGAAAATAAATAAGTAAATCATCTAGTGTGATAAAAGGTCGTGAATGCTATGGAGAAAGAGAAAGAACCTGGGTTAAGGAAATCAGGAGTCTGGTGGAGGTTCAAGGTTGGTCTTATTAAAAAGAGCAACATCTTGACAATAAGTTATTATTGAAGGGAAAAGAGCATTTTTGACAGAAGTTAGAACTAGAGCAAAGGTCTGAAGGTAGTTAAGTTATTGGCAAGTTTAGGGAATAATAAGGAAGCTGGGGTAGCTGGAATGGAGTGAGTAAGGGGAAGAGAAACAGTAGATTAGATCAGAGAGGTACCAGGGGTTCATGGTAGGCCATTATAAAGAGTTTGGCTTTTATTTTGTATGAAATGGGAGCCATGGCAGCATTTGATTAGTGGCATCATCTGACATATTCAAAAAGGATCACATTGACTATGGTATTGAGAATAAACTGTAGGGTATAAGCAGGAAGTTAGGAAGCTATGACAGTAATCCAGGAAGACTTGATGGAAACGTGGGTGATAGAGGTGGTGACAAGTGGTCCTATTTGGACTGCAGAGCCAGCATAGTTTCCTGATGGTTAAAAGTAAAGGAAGCAAGAAAGTGAGGAATTGAAGATAACCCCCCAATTTTTTTAATCTGATCAACTAGAAGGCTGCATATACCATGTGCTATGATGGCAAAAACTTCAATTAGAGCTAAATTTGGGGTGGAGGAAGATTGGGAATTTGGTTTTGGACATATTCAATTTGTAGTGTTTATTAGACAGGCAGTTTGAGATACTGAGTTAACAGTTGTATATATGAGTTTAGAGTTTGAGAAGGCAGTTCGGCTGGGAGATAAAAAGTTGGGAGCATAAAAATGATATTTATGGGCTTCCCTGGTGGCGCAGTGGTTGAGAGTCCGCCTGCCGGTGCAAGGGACACGGGTTTGTGCCCCAGTCCGGGAGGATCCCACATGCCGTGGAGCGGCTGGGCCCGTGAGCCATGGCCGCTGGGCCTGCGCATCCGGAGCCTGTGCTCTGCAACGGGAGAGGCCACAACAGTGAGAGGCCTGCATACCGGAAAAAAAAAAACTAAGATCGAAAAGTCTACAATTAATCAATGCTGGAGAGAGTGTGGAGAAAAAGGAACCTTCCTACACCGTTGGTGGGAATATAAATTGGTACAGCACTATGGAGAACAGTATGGAGGTTCCTTAAAAAACTAAAAATACAGCTACCATATGATCCTGCAATCCCACTCCTGGACACACATCCAGAGAAAACCATACTTTGAAAAGATACGTGCACCCCAGTGTTTATAGCAGCACTATTTACAATAGCCCAGACATGGAAGCAAACTAGATGTCCATCAAGAGATGAATGGATAAAGAAGATGTGGTATATTTATATAACAGAATATTACTCAGCCATAAAAAGAATGAAATAATGCCATTTGCAGCAACAAGGATGGACCTAGTGATTATCCTACTATGTGAAGGAATTCAGACAAAGGCAAATATCATATGATATCACTTATATGTGGAATCTAAAAAATGAATCAAATGAACTTACTTACAAAATAGAAACAGACTCACAGACTTAGAAACTTACGGTTACCAGAGGGGAAAGTTGAGGGGGAGGGATAAATTAGGAGATTGGGATTAATGTATACACACTACTATATATAGAATAGATAATCAACAAGGACCTGCTGTATAGCACAGGGAACTCTACTCAATACTCTGTAATAACCTATCAATATATGGGAAAAGAATCTGAAAAAATATATATAAATATGTATAACTTAATCA